TCACGGTCTCTCCTGCCGGGCTGGCTTTGAACCTTGATCCTCAGATCTCAGCCTCCTGAGTAGCTAGGATTACAGGCGTGAGCCACCAGCGCCCGGCTCCTCCTCCTTTTCTTAGTTGGCAGTACCACTGCGCTCTTCTAGGATCTTCAAGACCATGCTAGCCTGACCTTTGCGTCCCCTCTCTGTGGCAGAACCCTTGTGCTCCAACTCTGAGTCCAATTTCTTCCCCACTTGGCTTCTTCCCTTCCCCCATCCCCCCATCCCAGCTGACCTCCAATGTAGGCCACAGAGAAGCCTCTGCCGGTGGTGCTGCGGTCTGTGTGTAGCAGAAGCAGGAGCTGGTTGTGGCTGGAGGTGATGGGGGGAGGCAGGTGGCGACCACACCAATTCCCCAGCGGTGCTGCCTCTTCACTGTCTCCATCAAAGGCCGCCAGATGGTCAAAGTCACAGGTCCTGGTCAAGCTGTTGGGTTCCTCCAGGTCCACATCCAGGAAGAATACCTTGACTCGGTAGCCAGGAGGCAGGCGGATGGTCCAATGGCAGCGGATGTTGTTGGGGTAGGAGCCTGGGTACTGTGGGCTAGAGAAGTTGCCGCGCACAGCTGTGTACAACTCCTGGCATTCTCCTGAGAGTGAGGGGAAGGAACAATGGGAGGAGAGTGGGAACCACCCTCTGCAGCCCTATAGCTCCGACAGCAGGTGCCGGGGGTCCTATCAGTACGGGTGGCTATAGCCTCATGGTCAGCAAGCATGGTTCCAAGCATGGTTCAAACCTGAGCTGGAACTCTGGAAGAATGCTGGCTTGTTAGGAACTTAGTAGTCATACCTGATACTTGTGCTCAAGATGAAGTCCAAACTCCCTGGCTAGACAGACAAGGGAATTCATGACAGGGTCTTGCCTCTCTTCCCTGATGCTACATTGCTGTGGTTTGGGTAAGTACCACTCCCCCCACACACACACAACAACTCCCAACTAGTAAATACTCGGTCCCAGCCCACGGTGTTCTTGGAAAGCAGTGGAACCTATAACAGGTGGGACCTACAAGAAAAGAGGGGGCGTGGTTTAGAGGAGAGATTGTGGATCCTTGTCTGTCTCTTTCCTTTGCTTCCTGGCTGCCATGAGGTGAGCAGCTTCACTCCACCCTGCACTCCCTGCCATGGAGCACTGCCTCACCACAGGCCCAAAGACACCAGGCCAACCCATCATGGACCGACTGCTGAAACTAAGCCAAAATAAAGCTTTCCGCCTTGTAATTTGTGCCCAGTACTTTGTCACAGCAACTAAGAACATATTGTCCACTTTCTACATTCAAGTTCTACTAAGCACCTCCCAAGGCTGTCAGCACCCCAAACACTCTGTTCTCCACTCTTTTATACAAACTATCCCACCTGCTTGGAAGACCTTTCCCTTTCTTCTACCTCTGCCTAATTCCTTCAAGCACTGTTCATTTCTCTCCTCCTTCTGGATATCCCCCAAGATTCTTACAAGTCATCATTGTCTTATCCTTCGCCCCAACTATGAACACTCCAAAGGCCCATCTGCTCCTTTGTGCAAACATAAATCGTAGACCTAATTAACTAATGGCACAAGTATTAGGTCACAGTGTACAGAAACTTCTCTGAGGAGCACAGGAAGGGACTTACAAAAGAAGTAATGAGCTTATACTTTGGTCTTGGCTAGGAAGGAAATGCTGGAACATTTTACAGAGTACAGAAACCCTATGTTTCTGAGGATCAGGAAGGACTGTCCTCCCCTCTCCAAGCATACCAGGGAGGCAGAATTCTTCAGCACAGGGGTGATGGGTCGGGGGGACTGAGCCCCTCCTACCTGAGAAGTAGTAGGCCTTGAATCCCCGGCCTCCAATGTTGAAGTCTGACTTGAATACCACTTGCAGTTCGTGGCCCAATGACGTGAGGGTGGGGGGCCTGGTGCTGCCACAGTAGTGGTGCCCGTGGGCGGGTCCAGGGGCCCCGAGCACTGCCACATAGTCATAGGTGCACTGCTCGCTGCCTTCCACCTGGAAGTCCATGAACACCAGCTTGACGGCGGCGGGTCCCGACGCGTGGATCACCCAGTGACATTCTACATTGTTGGGGTAGTTGTTGGGGTATTCAGGGCTGGTGAGCACCCCCGACAGGCCGGTCAGGACACCACCGCACACATCTGCAAGGAAGCCGTTCTTGACATGCCCTTCCTTCCTCTGGCTCCTGACCTCCCCTGGGGAACCTGACATCCACAGACCCCACCAGGGATATAGCCTGGCCCTCTCCCATTATCTTGAGAAGACTGAGCCATAGGGAAACGAAGTCCCTAGACAGGGACAGAAGGTATGTTGATCTCGCTATTGAACTCCAGTACGGAATTCTGGGGCTGGGGCAAAGCACAGACCTGAGTCATGTGGCCCCAGAAATGAGAGAGCCAGGTCATTTATGCACTGTCTTCCTAGATTCCAGGCTGAGGGACAGAGAGGTGGAGATTAGCAGGGTAACAGTGAAGTAGAAGGCCCAGAGTCACTCCGCAGGAAGAAAACTGGTCAAGTTGTGTGTATGTGTGCGAGAGACCCTTGTGACCTCATCATCCGCTCCCACCAGACCAGGGCTCAAAGTCCCTGAGTCTAGGAATTAGATCAAATCTCCCTAATGGATGAGGAAACTGTGACGTGGAGGAAGATCTGAAGATGAATGGTCTCTCAGCTCTGCCTTCTGGGAAAGCAACCCAGCCTCTCTGAGCCTTATCTATACATTAGAAATCATAATGTACTAGGGTCTGACTGGTGTAGAGCTGAAAAGATGGGCAGGTGATGGTGAAGGCTGTGTCTTGCTGAAAGTCACCAGCAAGGCTGGGGGAGGGGGAAGGGGGAAGGGGAGGCGGGCGGCAGTTGGGGCACTATTTCCTAAGACTTCAGAATCTTGCTTCTTGTCCTCATGCTGTGTGATCTTGGGAAGGTAAATTCCTTCTCTGGCCTCAGAATTACTGTTTGTAAAGTAAGCGTGTAACAGATAGTCTTGGAGATGCGCCGACACCACCAACCTTAGTAAAGGCTTAGTAAAGGCTTCCAAACAATTTCTGGGACTCCCCAGTGGTCCAGGGAACCTGGCTAAAAAGGTTATTCTTATGTTTTACTTCAAACTATCTCTTAACAGTTAAAAGACAGCCATGGTTATGAGTTTTATATGCCATAGTTTGGGTCCCTGGAGACCATTATTAGTCATGTGTTTTTCAATGATTGGTTTATTATCAAATAAATACATGCTACAAAGATGCTGCCTTTGCCTTTTTTTTAATACACTCTAGGGATTAATAGACAGTTCCATTCAATAGAAGGGTTTTCTTATCTAATAAGATGTTGGAGAACATGGCATATGGCACTATGATTTGGATATCATAATATTCTAAAATATCCAAGGGACTAAAATTCCCAAACTCTGATTTGATCATCCCACCACCATTCTTGTACTAATATCCCACAATTCTGAACCTCTACTTTTGTTTTCTTTTTGTTTCTGTTTCTGCTTTTGTTTTTTTGGTCGGTGATGGGCCTTGAACTCTGGGTCTGGGTGCTGTCCCTCAGCTCTTCAGCTCAAGGCTAGTGCTCTACCACTTTGAGCTACAGCACCACTTCCCGAGCCTCTACTTTTGACATGGACTGGGTGTCTCACCAAGTCCTGGGGTTATTGCAGGTGCACCCTGTGGATCAGGAGCCCTTGCTTGGGCTGGTATGACTAAGACCTTTGGTCTTGGCCTTGAGTACAGAGAGGAGGTGTGGACCCTTCGGTGGCTTGATGCCACACTTCAGGATAAGAATCATCAAGGCAGATAAAAGGCCGTGATGAGCCTGGACTCCAAGTACAGCAAGAGCCTCTGGGGACCAGGGACTCCTGGAGGAGGAGTTGGAGTGTTCATGGCAGCAGGGCCTATAGTCACCAAGACTATATCTGCCATGAGCACCAAGGACTCTTCCTCTCCCTTGCTGTGCAGGAGAGCACGTCCATCCAAGGTCACAGAGCAGTCCTTGCTAAGATGCTACCTACAGGTCTAACCTGAGCCGCTGCCCTCCCCCACCTCCAGCCCAGGGCCAGCCTCTCTGCTGCTGAGACCCCACTCACCTTTCTGGTAAGCTGCAGAAAAGCCATGGCTGGCCACATGCTTGTCTGAGTGGAAGACGATGGACATGACATGCCAGGAGGAGGAGAAGGGCGGTGGGGGCACCTGGCCGCAGAACCTCCCCAGCAGGTTGCCCTTGTCTCCAGAGGCCCCGTTGTAGATCTCCAGGAAGTCGAAGCCGCAGGTGTCATGGTACTCCAGGTCAAAGGCATGAAAGGTGAGCAGCACAGAGGATCCCTCAGCCACCACAATCAGCCAGCTGCACTCTGTGTTGTAAGGGTATAGTCTTGGGAAGTTGGGGCTGGAGAAGTTTCCAGAAGGTGCTGAGAGTACACCTCCACATTTGACACCTGGGGCAAGAGAGAAGGATGGCTCCAGTTGGCATATATATATATATATATATATATAGATAGATAGATAGATAGATAGATAGAGAGAGAGAGAGAGAGAGAGAGAGAGAGAGCAAAGCACAAGCCATAGCCACCAAGTCAATTCACATATCCATGCATTCGCATGTCCTTCAAATACTGGATATTGAAGCATTCTTTGCTCCATTCAGCAAATATTGTTTGAATACTAGACATCATTCTAAATGCTAGGGTCACTGCCGGAAGAGAACAGACAAGTGAAATGAAGAACGTCTGGAAAAGTGACAGGTACCACAGAGAACAAGGAAAAGAGGGACCAAAGAAGGGTTAGTGTGTCAGGCACTTCTTGGTGCTGTAACAAAATACCTGAGACAGGAAACTTGAAGGAGAAATGATTTATTTTGACTCATAGTTTCAGAGGTTTTAGTCTATGGTTCTTGGCTCCAAAGGCAACATGTCATTGTGGGGAGGGTGGGTTGGAGAAGAGCTGGTGACCTCATGGTAGCAGGAAGCAGAGAGAAGAGAAGGGGAAGGGAGGAGAGGGGAGAAAAAGGGAAGGGAAAGGGAACAGGGAGGGAGAATAGGAGAATGAACAAGGAAGGTGCCAAGGACAAAATATAGTCTTCACCCGTACTGACCATTCCTCCAATCATTTCCTACCTTCCACAGTTTCTACAACCTCCAACAAGCCATTCAATTATGTCCACCAATGGGTTAATCCATTGATTAGGTCAGAGCTCTCATAATCCACTCACTTAAAAGCCTCATCCACCTCTCAATATTATATTGGGGACCAAGCCCCGAAGTCATGAGCCTTTCAGGAAGTACTTCATGTTTAAACCCTAACAGTCTAGGGTGTGCCTCAAATTCTAGATAAAACATTACCATCTGCCAGGCCCCTAGATACACACAGCCGGGAGTGTAGAGATTAATGGTAACAACTCCCCTTGGTGAACATGTACACGACCCATTACCATGCTAAAAGTGCATCCTAATATGTACATTTTTAAAAAGGAAACGATGAAAGGAAACTAATAAGAATAATTCTGTCAAGGAAAGAAATCATGTCTGACTATCAGACCTCTTTAAATGCATTCTTCAGAGTTTTGACTTTGTAACGACATGAAATAATTCATATAAAATCAAAAAATTTAATGCACCCCCCAAAAATCTCAACCTGAAATCAAATCAGTGGAACTATGTATCAGTTGGAGACACAGTCACATGGAGAAAAATGATTATGAATGAGTGTGAAGATCTCAAGGACAAATGAACCACAAAGACATCTTTAACTATGTGCAGTAGTCTTACTCTTAGAAACAATATTAAGTATTGATTATTTATAAATATTACACATTTGGATTAAAGCAAAGAAATATGTTCATGTCAATTGAAACTAAGATGTTCAGTGTGAAATGAGAGACGAAAAAAATATTACTACAGTTGGGCTGTGGAGACTGAGATATGAGGGTCATGGTTTGAAGCCAGCCCTGGCAGCAAAGTCTGTGAGACTCTTATCTCCAATAAATGACTTAGAAAAAGACAGAAGTGGCCCCGTGGCTCAAGTGGTAGAGCACTAGACTTGAACACCAAAGAGGCTCAGAGACAGTGCCCAGGCCCAGAGTTTAAGTCCCCAGGATCGGCAAAAATAAAAATTATGTGTGTGTATACATATACATACGTATGTATGTATGTATGGCATGGTTGCGTAGGGTCAGGGGGACCCAGTGAGTTAGAGCCCAGCCTGAACTATACATAACAAGAAAACATATATATCAGGAAAATTTTAAACTCTTGATTCTTGACATGAGTTGAAATATCAATATGAACTGATATTCCCTCCATCCCTTGCTCCCTTCCTTCTTTCCTTCCTTCCCTCCTTGTTTTGGTTTTAAACAGGATATAGCTATGTAACTATGTTGCTAAGACTGGTTTCAAATTCAAGATTCTCCTGTTTCACTCTCCTGAGTACTAGAATCACTTGTGTATACTACTATGTCATAGATTTAGTTTTATTGCTTTAAAACATTGTTTATTAAACAAGCTCAGGAGCAATAATATTGCAGTTGTGTGTTATATCCCTAGGCTTTAGATTCAGATTATTGTGCCCAACTGAACTGGGGCTCCATAGAGAACTGGCTGGTAACCAGGTCTCCAGTACTGGAAATATACAAAATGCACTTCACACTTATCATGCTAAATAGGAAAGACACTCCCAAGGACTGCTGGGACTTTTGTCAGAAGACACAGGAACCCACTTGAAGGCTAAAGAAAATACAAGTTGGACATCAGTAAGGAACAATACGGTCAAGATAGCAGTTTGAAGCTAACCCAGGTTAAAAGTTCCATGAGATTCTCTCAACCAATAAAAAATGAGGTGTGGTGGCATGTACCAGTCATACCAGCTATTTGGGAAGCATAATTAGAAGGACTGAGATTCATAAGTATAAAACTCTATCTGGAAAAAAAAAAGAACTATATGACTAGAGCCAATATCCCATGGTGGTTTGCAAACGTCTGATTTTCTAATGGTATTTTTTTCTGTAGTCTTCTATAAATAACAATGTTCCCTTGCTAGCTTTTGAGAAATCTAGTCCATATAATGATGACAAAGTAAATGTCTCATTTCTTGCCCTTTCTACTTACCAATTTTCAAAAAAAAAAGTAGTGTCCTAGACACACACACACACACACACACACACACACACACACACACACACAAAGCCAATAAGTATTTTTCTTAATTTCTTTTGAATTGCATTGTAAATTCATGAGGGTCTTTCATTTGTTTGCAGTACTGAGATTCAAACGCAGTCTGGTGCTAGCTAGGCAGACACTCAAGCCACACTTTCAGCCAATTTTTGGCTTTAGTTATTTTTCACATACGGTCTCTCATTTTTGCCCAGAATTGGACTTTGATCCGCTTTCTTATGCCTCCCAAGTATCCAGGGTTACAGGCAGGAGACACCATTACTTCATGAGATTTTATATGCTTGATATGTTTCTACTACAATCCTCTTCTTCCTTCTTCCCTTCCTCCTCCCCTCTTCTCTTTCTCTTTCTTCTCCCCTCCCTACATCCTTCTTTCTCTTTATTGCAGTATTTTCCCCATAGTATTCACACCAGTAGCATACTGCTGATTTTACTTGTTTGTTTGGTTCCTTGATGCTCCTCTTTTTTTGTTGTTGTTGGTGGTGGTTGTGGGGCTTGAACTAAAGTCCTGGGTGCTGTCCTTGAGTTCTTTTGTTCAAGGCTTTCACTCTATGACTTTGAACAACAGCTCCACTTCCAGTTTTCTAGTGGTTAACTGGAGATAAGAGTCTCATGGACTTGTTTACCTGGACTAGCTTTGAACCATGATCCTCAGACCTCAGCCTCCTGAGTATGTAGGATTACAGGCATGAGCTACCAGCACCCAGCCTTTCTGTTTTTCTTCCATAAATATGTACACTCTGAGATCAAGGATCACTGTCATTTTTTTCTCCTGATATAATGCAAGCTGCGTCACACATAAAGCAGGTGTTCATTGTGTATTACAGATTGAGCGAATGAACTCATAACAGTCCTCACTGCAGCCCTATATTCGAAACAGGCAGGGCAGCTGTTAAGAACTCCATTTCACAGATGAGGAAAACATCCCAGAAAGGGAGCTTCTGCCTGACATCATTTGCTTTGGTCTACCAGTGCCTCTTCCACCTCTTGCAACCACAGGCCCCTGTTTTCTACAGTACTCCCTCCCTCCTTCTTCATGTTCTCCTTTCTTTCTTGGAGGGCAGGCACATGACCTTAGCCGGGTAATCCTGCCTCCCTTCCCCAGTGACTAGCCTGTGGAGTGTGCATGTGAAGTGTGCGTGTGTTCCAGACTAGGCTAAAGTTGTGCTCCACGAAGCACCCCTCTATCTGCCTCAGGTTCTCTCTCTCCAGGGAACAGCACACTGCTTTAGGCTGGAGGTTGGAGCCCTGGAAAAAAATCACACTGGCAGAAGGCAAGAATCATGTGAAGAGTGGAAATGGCCCTGAGGCCAATGGGGCCTAGGCTGCTGCACCCGGGCTCAGCTCAGCTCCATCCTTGTCTCCTGCTTGTTACAGAGCCAATGACTTTTCCTTTTGTGTTCAAGCTTATCCAGAGCAGGTTCTGAAGCATCCTGAAGCACACACTTGAATAACATCCCTGGAAGAAAGACACACTGGCCAGGCACGTGCCTTGCTCAGGATCTGTGCTGATTCTGACAGGAACCTTCCCTGGGGAGCACAGAGAGAAGGTGGGGCTGAGGAGAGCCAGGCAGCTGGGACAAAGCCACACACCAGTGCTCTGCCTCCCAGGGGCTCTGGGCTCTAGAGGGAGGGAAAGCATCTTACTGAAGACTGCAGTATGGGGGAAGGGATGAGCTTCCCAGAGGAGGGGATACTTCAATAGTGAGAAGGGTTCCTCGGAAGACCTGTGGAGTTGGGGGAGCAGGCACCATCGCTTTCTGGGCTCCTTGTACTTCCTAGGCAGGGGCCAGGACCAGGAATGGCATCTGATTCCTGTCTTTCTGGCATGAGAATAAAGGGGCACTGTGTCCCGTGCCTATCCTCTACTGCCGTCCCCCCCCCCCCCCCCGTCCCCGCCCCAGCACCATGATAGTGTCAGCACAGAAGTCCTCAGGTCCAGCACAAATGAAGACCTTGTCCACTAGGCCCTAGCCAGACACATTGACCCCCAGTGTCCTCTAAAGAAGGCCTGGTGGCTAGAAACTAAGAGCACTAAGGTCTGCCTGCCATCCAAGCATTCTGACTTCCCAGAGAATAAACCCAGGCTCCATTTTCTTCTCTCCACCCACCCTCCCTGATCCCATAGCTCCTACCTTTCGTGGCTTGGGCCCTGGGACCTGGATGGAGCAGTACCACTGCCAACAGCAGGCAAGACCCCCACGCCGCCAGCATCTTCTCACGAGGGGCCTGCACAGGTCTACTGAGCTCAGGGGAGCCAGGAGCAAAGGGTCTGAGTTGCAGAAAGAGAGGTGAGGCTAGAAGGGCCTCCAAGTTAATGGCGGTGTGAATAATTCATCGGCCCTCGAATTAGTAAGCTGATCTCTAGGTGCTTCCTTCACTTCACGCTAAGGTGGCCGATCTAGTGTCACTAGGCTGACACATTCTGAGATCTGTTCTGGCCACAGTGTAGAAGGAAGGGAAGCAGCTTGGGCCTGAAAGGAAATTGGGTAATGGAGACAGGACCTGAGTTCCAGGGTCAGGGATCATTCCCAGTTTAGCCTCCGACTTGCCCAGTGACCTTAACAGTCAACACGCAGGGGTGTTGCTCTTCTCATCTGTCCAGTGGGGCTATTCAACCCTGCCTCTGAGATAACCTATACTGAATTACACAGAAGGCACTGAATATATGCTATCACATAGAGTAGATGTTTACCATTGGCTTTCCCCATCCACCATTCCAGAGGAAGCCCTGAGCCTGAAATTTGTGGGACAAGCTTTCTTCAGATGTGAGCATTGAGCTCAGAGGAGGAGGGGGAGAGAAGGGAGTAGTATGATAGAATGTGTGGGAATAACATATTGGATCAGTCTCGTATTGGTCTGACCACGGGTGGCTCACGCCTGTAATTCTAGCTACTCAAGAAGCTGAGGTCTGAGGATTGAGATTCAAAGCCAGCCAGGGCAGGAAACTCAGTAAGATTCTTATCTCCAATTAAGTATCAAAAAGCCAGAAGTAGAGCTGTGACTCAAATGGCATAGCACAAAAGCTCAGAGAGAGCATCCGGGCACTGAGTTCAAGTCCCAGGATTCACACACACACACACACACACACACACACACACACACACACACACACAGACACACAATTTAATTGGGCAACTCCTAATACATTATAGTGGCCACCGGGTACCTTCTGGCTAAGAAGAGGAAAGGCCTGTTCTTCACTGATCCAAATCTTCTACTCTCCTGAGGTCTTAGTCAGACCTGAATCTCATACTGCTGGCTGAGGGGCCTGGGAAAGTACCCCCTGCCCTCTGAGGCCCAGCCTTGTCCACAGGGCAACAGCCTGCCGTCTGTGGGGACCACCAACAGGACGTCTGAGCCAGCCTGGGTCAGTGCATAGAAACAAGTGCGCTTGTTATTTACCCTAGAGGAACCCAGACATCCATCTGCCAGACCATATGTCACCTCTGGCCCATCTTTCATCAGGAAGTCCCCAGGGACCCCTGGACTGCCAGAGGAGGAGGCCACCTGGCAGGTGTTCAGCAAAGAGAACCAGAAATGGTTAGAGGCCTGAGGGCTGGCTTACCTTTAGGGCTGGATTGGCAAGAAAGAAAAGGTTTTGCCATTCTGGGCAATTTGAGGAGGGGGAGACTCTATGAAGCACCTACTATGTATGTAAGGGAGGGACAGCGAGAGGAGAAGGGCATGCAGGGTCCTGGGTGCTACCTCCCAGCCAGGACAGCATGTAGTGTGTTCTCCACTCGCCAGAAGAAGCCTAGGCCTGGGCCTTGGGGTAAATTCTTTCCTAGGAAGTTCCTGGCGTAAGTCATTCACTGGTGGGCAATCCCAGTGAGTTCAGTGTGTGTGTGTGTGTGTGTGTGTGTGTGTGTGGTGGGGGGGGGTTGGTAAGACAGGAAGGAAGGAGGCTATCTCAGGCTATGTTGCTAGGAGGGTGACTGCTCAGGCACAGAGCAGACAATGTCCTTAAATCATTACAACTAAACGGTGAGGAAGCCGGGTGCCAGTGGCTTATACCCGTCATCTAGCTACTCAGGAGGCTGAGATCTGAGGATCGTGGTTCAAAGCCAGCCCGGGCAGGAAAGTCTGTGAGACTCTTATCTCCAACAAACCACCAGAAAACCAGAAATGGCACTGTGGCTCAAGTGGTAGAGTGCTTGCCTTGAGCAGAAGAGCTGAGGGACCACGCCCAGGCCCAGAGTTCAAGCCCCACAACTGACAAAAATAAAATAAAATAAAAGGTGAGGAAGCAGATGTTTAGCTCTCAGCTCCCTGACTGCTCAGGCCTGGCCCCAAAGTCCAAGGTAAGAAGCCCAGAGGGTGTAGAAAGGATGCAGTAAAATTGTGTGCGCAGAGCAATGGTCAATGCTTACAGACATGTGAGAAAGGCCATGACACCCTCTACCACTCACAATAAAAGATGATCGTAGCCAGGCGCTGGTGGCTCACGCCTGTCATCCTAACTACTCAGGAGGCTGAGATCTGAGGATTGCGGTTCAAAGCCAGCTCAGGCAGGAAAGATCGTGAGACTCTTATCTCCAATTATCCACTAGAAAACCGGAAATGGTGCTGTGGTTCAAGCAGTAGAGTGCTCTCCTTGAGCTAAAGAGCTGAGGGACAGTGCCCAGGCTCCAGAGTTCAAGCCCCACAAAAAAAAGAAAAAGGAGGCTGAGATCTGAGGTTTGAGGTTCAAAGCCAGTTTCGGCAGGAAAGTCTATGAGACTCTTATCTCCACTAACCTACCAACCAAAAAAGCTGGAAGTGGAGCTGTGGCTCAAGAGGTAGAGTGCTAGTTTTGAGTAAAAAGAAGCTCAGGGACATGGCCCAGACTCTGTGTTCAATCCCTAGGACTGGTACGTGCACGTGCATGTGCCTGCATGTGCCCACGCGTGTGCACACGCACATGCATGCACACGTATGTGTGCTTGCACACACACACATACACAAAGATGCTCATAGTTATTATTGTGACTCCCAGACTTTTCCACCCCTCTGGAGCATTCGTCCCACTCCTTAGAAAGAATGACAATCTTTCCAATCGCAGGCCAACCCTGCTAACTGTCCTAGTGTCCCTTTGGTCTCCATGATCAATAGCTCCCAAGCTGAATACTCAGTTTCTCTATCCCCTAATTTATCTGCTCTGTATAATTTCCAGAGTCAGACAACTCACCAAGCCAGAAACATAGGAACCTGCCTCAACTTCCCTTTCTCTCATACCAACTCACACTGGTTACCCTTGAGTTTTACTACTCTTTTGCTTCTGAATGACTTCTGAAGCCATCACGACACAAGCTCATTATCTCACTTGCATTATTGTGCATCTTCCTGGCTGGTCTGTGCGTCTTTGTTCTCATCTTTTTCCTCCTCGTGGCCCACCTGCTCTCTACTCTGAGCTTTCTGAAATCTAATTAGACTATGTTGTGCCTCTAACTGGCTAGTCTTCTTTCCTTTCTTCTTGTTCTTCTTCTTCTTCTTTGTCCCAATTCCTCCCTGCTCTCCTTTTTTCTTGACATTGCTCATAGGTTGGCTTTGAATTCTCAATCCTTCTGCCTCAGTCTCCCAAGTATTGGGATTACACGTGTGTACTACCAGAATGCGTCTGTGTGTTAGCTGGGTGGCCTTTCTGGGGATCCCTTCCTTTCCTTAGAATGTGTTTTTCATCTTGTTGTTTTTGTCCAGGTTTCTATAACTATTAAAGATTAGGAAGTTTATAAACAACAGATATGAATTCCTCAGAGTCCTGGAGACCAGAATTCTAAGGGCAAGGTGCTGGCAGAGTTGGTGACTGGCGAGGGTCCATTTCCTGCCTGTGTTCTCAATGGTTAAAAGGATAAGGGTCTTTTGGGGGCTCCCTTTTATAATCCCCTCCCAAGGGCCTCACCTCCTAAATCCATTGCCTTGGGTATTTGGATGGATTGCGGGGGGAGAGGGGACACAATGTTCACACCGGACCTGCCCTGTGGAATGGCAGGTGTGCTAGGCATAGGGGTTAAGCCTGCAGCTTCTAGAACCTCCACCACATGAGCTCAAATCACAAAGGTGGAAGTTAGCTGTGTGACCTTGGGCAAGTCCCTCTGTCCTTCCTAGCCTCCGCTTCCTCACGTGTGAACTGAGGAGAGGGGCTGCAGCTGTTGGGCGCTGTCCTCACAGGAATGAGTAGGCAGGTGTGGGGTGTACGAGACAGCAGAGCACTGCACGGGCTGCGCTGAGCATGCCTTCCTGTCCATATTCCAAGTGTGGGAATCCCAAATGCTTCAGATCTCAGGTCTTGTCTTTCATTCTAACCTACCTTTCCTTGAAGTCACCTCTGAGCACCTCCTGCTGCCGGGCTGCCCCTCCCTCCAATCAGAACTTGGCCATCATTCTCTCAGGATCCCCAGGGGAGGTGACAGGGGAGGAACAAAGGCTGCTGCCTGCCAAGGTGTGCCTAAGCTGCCCACAGGAGAGTCAGCTCTGGGTGCCTGTGCTCTGTCAGTGTCCCGCTGAGCCTGAGGACCTACTCTGCAAGGTCTGGGAGGTATGGTATCTTGGCATAAGGTGATTCTCTTCAGTATGGCTGGCTCTGCAGCCCCCAGAACTAGAGGGCCCAGAGGACCTCAGTGAAGGGTGTGAGCCCCCCAAGATGTAAGTATGCTTCCAAGGGAGGGTGCCGATGCCGTGTGCGCCCGTTTCTGTCATCACCTGGCTGTGCTGTTTTCTGGTTGTCTAGGCACAGGGCCTTCAGTGCACTGTGTCAGTGTGGCTGCCCTTTTCTGACTGTGAAGATGCTCTGTGTGATGGCACCCACGCTGTCCATTTGTGTTTCTTGTACTCACATCTATCTGTGTGCACACACCTGGATCACACATGCTGATCGGTGTATTCCCACTGTGGATGTGTGCACTTCTCCTTCTGGAGATATGCAAGGTAAATAAATGTCCCCTGAGTGAATGTCCCCTGTGGCGTGGACAGCCACAGCTCAGAGCTGTGTGTGCATGGCCATCCCAGTGACCGTGCGTCCCTCTGTGTGCACAGTCTGTAAGTCTGCAGGTGTACAGATCTTTGCTTCTTGGGGTGTGCACATCTGTGCCTGGTACATATAACAATGGAAACAGGTGCTCACACCCCCTGGGGATACACATCTGTGCATCTCCACGCATGTCTCTGTATATCCCTGGGGTACATGCCTGTAGTATCTGTTCTGTCACTGGTGGGTGGATACAGGGATGATTCCCAGAAGATAGCAAGGGTGCTGGTTAGTGCTGTTCTACTGAGGCCTGGGTTTGGGAAGAGGCTACCCCTGAATCCTAAG